GGAAGGGAAGGGGGGAGGGGGAGGGGGGGTCATGTATATGATAGTGTGAGCTGTGTAACCTTTGACCCAGAGAAAAAATAAAACAATGAATGAACGATCATGGCTGGGCTGCCATGTCTCTTTGCTGTTCAACTGTCGTCATAGAGACGACACATACCTGGCTTTAAGACTTCAGTTTCCATGGTAACAGTACAGCTAAGAAGAGGGTTGCCAGGGAAACAGGAGAGTGCGAAGAAGGGGGGCCAGGGCGAGGATGAACAAATTAGTCAAGGCAGGAGTTTTATGCACAGCACATGTTTGTTTTTAATACAAAATTAACAAGATCTCTCAATTGAGTGAACTAACCAAAGCAATAAAAAGTACAACTAACACCTTGGAAAAATAGACACCACGTTCACACAAATGTTTTTACAATATCTCAGTTAAGTTAGTGCATGTTGATTATCGTTTATACGTTTCATTTTGCAGATACTTAATTTGTTGTGCCATTTTCATCCAAAAAATAAAGTGCATTTCACATTGAAAACTACGCATACGGTTTACACAAGATGCTGTTACTGTGGCGTTCTCCCATCTCCAACCCCCACCCACACACACACACTCACAGGCCCTTAAGTGTTTTGATATTTAGCTCTAGATTAGTAACCATCAGAAAAACTGAACTAACAGCCCATCGTTGGCAACACATTTTCTCAAAAACCCACTTGCTTTGTACACAACTTTGTGTACTATTACACAGTGAAACCATTCAATAGATTATCAGGTGTGTGTACACAGAGAAGTATTACATCCAACATCACAGTCTTTTACTATTCTTGGATACAAAGCCCTTGTTCACACCTGTTTTAACTATGAAAATCTCACGATACTGTTGGCTGCACAAGAGGAAAACATTCACCAATCAGAAAAAGTCGTGTACCAATTTATTATTTCCTCAAACATCCCTCACCTGTGTAGCCAAATCCGCTCGATCGTCCTTTAACCAGCCTTTACAAACTGGTGCATATTGAAGCGAGGAACCAAACGGAAGAAATTCTACATTAATTCAAAAAACTGGTGCAACCCATCTCATCCCCCTAGTGTGACTGGCTTTGGTAGCACCATGCGCGGTGGTATATAAAGTCCCTCCTCTTCAGCATGCCGTATTTACAAAAAACAAATGAATCGAGAGGAGGGGATATCCGTTAAACAATTTGAGTATTACTACATTCAGAAAAAGGCTTTTACAGCGCCGTTATATCGTACAACATCAGAATCTGAAAGAATTCAGGCCAGACTAAAGTGGAAAAAAATAGAACTTTTCAATGAATATAACAAAATAGACTTTTCTCCAAAGGTAAAGGAATAGGAGTTTGTGATGGTTTTTTGATGTGCCAGCCTGACCTGTTGCTCATCGAATAACGACAGGATTCAGTCTGACACTGTGCACAAGTTCACATACGCAGGCTACAATCCCAATGCTTAGAAAATGCTATTCTTCTGCTTTCTTTACTCATCCCCCCTCTTTTAAAAACACTTTGCACCTGATCTGAGGCCAGAAAGATAAAGATTGGGAGCTCCCCAAACGCCTCCGATCGGGCTCACAGAGAGGGGAGGCAGCAAGGAAGGAAAGAAGGAGCATTATCCTCGTATTTGGAAGTGGCCTTTTTTTAGCTCATAGAATCATTCAGAGGTCACTTAACGGACACCTGCCTCAACCAGACTAGATTGATTTAGAGTATATTAGTGATATAGAGGAGACAGAAAACACACAGCAGGACTAGGATCCCAGTTCATTCAGAGTCCCTCTCACTTTGGCTTGAAGTGCTGGAGCTTCCACATCCTAGTCCTATCCGTCTTCAAAAAAGCTCTACAAACACGTAACGAGGCCACTTCTCTCAGAGTTGACAGGAAGACTGGCAGCATTATCCTCAAAAGGTCAGAGGAGGGGTCAACAGGAATTTATATTCCTCAGACCTGTTTTACCCCCTTCCCTTCCCCCTGGACAACACAAGGAGACAGATTGTGGTCTGCTGAGCTGCTGGATCACAAACACACGCACACACACCCAGAGGCCATGCAACTCATACTGTATGCACGGAAAAAAAACAGTCCCAAATCACACACTGACACTTGAGGTTACAACACTCAGGACGGTTCATATGCTCCCAAAAGGCAGAGGCGACCCCCACCCCTCAAAAGAAAAGTACAATTTCATCCTGGTGTGACAAATGATCAAAGCCCGATTTTGGGTCAGAAAGAAAACGTTGCAGAGGAATGAGGCAGTGGTGTCACCGTGACAAAATGAGTCGTTTGATCCAGCCCAGGAGTGATTATCGTACCACCTTTTCGAAGATGTGTCACTGAAGCATCATTTGTAGCTCGCTGAGCCCGTTCACTGCAACACTGTTCCCCCACACCCGACGTTTATGGTATTCGACTCTGCAGGAAGAAGTCATGGTGTGACGTGGATGTTATTGCTCTCTGAGTATTGCTTCACATCTAAAAAAAAATAACTACCATTCATAGGCTAGTTATTGCTGACATGATCTGAAGGAACGAGGAATTAGCGTGCACGTATGTTGAGTTTGCGAACTCATTTTGAGACCAAAGAATAACGGGTAACTAACTCAGAGCAGCTGGTACGTGTTGTGGTTTGGGCGTCCTTTGAATTACAGTTAGTTGAAGTCAAATCGTGATCAAAGCAGAGCTGTGAGAACGCCTCTGAACTTCAAACTACACAGCACTTATTTAAGAAATCCTCATTTTTCAAAGAGTGTAACTCTTGTGACCATCCAGTGATGATTGTAGCTCATTCAATGCAACAGGTGTGAGGTGCATTGTGGTACATAAACCAAATTATTAAGGTCATGATGACATCAGGGGATCATGACACATGGCCTGCAGTGGCCTATGTGACCTACCACATCGAGCCCAGGAGGGAGGGGAAAACAAAAAGGAGATCTGTGCTTGTTGCATGCAAATTACACTGAAGTCTAGCATGCAGATCAGATTTTATGTGGTTGGTGTGATACTCTGTGTGAGCCAAAAAGAAAATGACATGGAAATATATTCAGATTTTGCAGATTTTCACACAAATATCACTTCAATAATTTTGCAATTTGGGCTTTTATCTACAGGTTTGTAGTGATTCGATCATAAGCATGTTCATTTAATCTGCTATAGGATAATATAAAATAAGGATATTTCTGTTATCCTTTTAATAATTACCTTTAATCAAATTAGTGGGGGTTTAAATTACAACTTAAATGTATCTAACAATCTCCAGACATTCAAAAAGTCAAAAGCAATCTCCATTTAAAAAGTGAAAGAGGGGGGATATAAAGTGGTTACATAATCCGATAGGCCGATATTCGGTTTCTTGCCTCCATTAATAATAAAGACTGGGGGAGGGGTTAATAGTGGGGTCTCCTGGGGCTTTGTCTCGAGCCTCCCAGACGGCGAGCTGAACTAAAAACACATTCACGCACAATCCAAAGAGAGAGAGTTAGGGGGGGGAAGACAAAAAGTAAATTGGAGAGGCGAAGTGAAGAAAGGGCTTGATTTCTTCCTCGGCGTCGGTGGAGGACGCAGGGCGCGGATCAGAGAGCGCCGGGTCTATTTTTAGCTCTCCGCGGCTGTTTAGCTTTCGACGCACGTCCAGAGTGCAGCAGCAGAGCGCCGGGATGCTGCTCCAGCTCCAGACGGGCTTCATGTGGAAATGCCTGCGCATTGAGCCGCGGCCGCTCTCTCCTCTCCCCAACGCACACACTGCTTTGTTAATCTGCCGTGCGCTTTTACGCACGCACAGGGGGGCAGCAAACTAATAATCCCTCCCTGTTAGAAGAAAATAAATAAATAACAAGCACGTGTCAACCAAAGCTCCAATGCTGTTATTAACTATATGCACAGTCTATATACAGCTGCTGCCTGTAACACGTGATGCACTCAGCGCTCTCTGCGGGACAGAGGAAGGGCGTGGCACGGGGGTGAACGGGAGGGGGCGGGATGCCGTCCTTTACTGGGGAAGACAGTGAGATACCTTGCCCTACAGTGAGTGGAACAAAGGAAATAAACGCCATCCATCCAGGGTGGGCTGCGGATAACGAACCAAACCGCCTCCAGCCACAACCGACCCCCCCCCCACAGTGCCGCGTCCCCTGACCTCCACTGCCGCTGCTCTCTTTCACACCAGACGGATCCAGTGAGGAGCAGAGCTGACCCAGGCCTCCTCTCTCTTCCCACCTGGGTCTGCTCGATCAGACGTCGCTAGGGGTCCGTGCACGCTGGGCCACGCTGGCAGGCACGCAGCCGCAGCACACCAGCCACAGCGCCTTCTGGATCTCCTGGTTCCTGAAGGCGTAGATGACCGGGTTGATGACCGAGTTGTAGGTGGCGGGCACCAGGGTGGCGTAGGTGTAGAGTGGAGGGTAGGTGTAGTCGGCGATGAGAGAGTAGACGGTGAATGGCATCCAGCAGGCAGCAAAGGTACCCAGGATGATGGCCAGCGTGGACACGCCCTTCCGTGTTGTGACGTAGTGGGGCGTGGCAGCCAGGAAGTGGTGCTGGAGGGCGATCTGGTGAGCGTGGCGCATCACTATCTTGCAGATCTGCACGTAGAGTTGCAGCATGAGGCCGAAGAGCAGCAGGAAAGAGACGGACAGCACGGCGATGTTGTTCTTCGTGAGCGGCCGCACCACACTGCATGTGGCCTCCTCTGCCAGGCAGTTGACCCCTGTGACCGGCAGCAGGCCCAGACACAGGGAGAGGCCCCACAGCAGCACCAGCATGGTGGAGGTGAAGGCCGCTGTCCGCTCCGAGTTGTAGGTGAGGGCATAGTACAGCGACAGGTAGCGGTCAATGGTAATGGCCAGCAGGCTGAAGACGGAGGCGGAGAAGGAGGCCACCACCAGGCCCACCG